CTGATTCACTGAACGCCAGTGTCAGTGTATGTACTGATTCACTGAACACCAGTGTCAGTGTCATCAGTGTACCGGTGAACGCCAGTGTGACTTTATCGGTGATCAGTATACTGAAACTGCACATCCCTACGTTGAACATGTAAACGAATATCGTCTGCTATTGAATTTTATCGAATTATATCTTTGTTATACAAGGTTTATTTCAATTCGCCGATGGACCTAAAAAAACACGTGTTATTTAAGATCTTATCAGTTGCTTTATACTTGCAACGAAGAGCAAAAACTTTTAATTGATGTGGCATTGTTGTTTTGGTAAGGTACAACTTCCTATTTCATTCATAAGTTATAGTACTATTAAATTTATGTTCAATAGTACATGTAATTGAAAACTTTCGACATAAATCCAATATTATCAAAAGAGAACACATTATTTTCCAGGTGGATTATTTCTATATGTTCGTTTACTATCATTATATGATGAACATTCTTTTGAGTATGAAATTTTTATTCGACTTTCTCAGTCATTTCCACTATCATTTATCATCAATCACAAAAACATAAACAACTTTATAAATCAATCAATTATAATGAAAATTCATCAATTGTTAAATATAATTATCTTATTACAGTTGATATTTCAAAAGTTCATGATGATTATAAAGAAGAATTTTTATTTAATACAAAAATATATTTTCATACTGATATTCTTCTTTATATCAATGATTAGTCATTAGAAAGAGTGGCACACAAGTTTACCAGAGATGATACACGAATTAATTATGTTAAAATAAATAAAATTTATTTATTCGAAGGAAAAAATTATTCAAAATTATTGTAAGATTATTTTCCTTTTGCAATAATACATTGATTATTACTGTAGTAAAACAAATTTTATTATCTTATTGAAAGATCAAATATTTCAAAAAACACAACAGAAATAATATTTATCTAGAAAGAAGTCAATATCGTTATGTGTGAAAAGTTCTTATGTGTTAGCAAATTGATTTATATTGCTGGAAATCACTGTAAATCAGTTTATTTCCTCTTAATTTGACTAACATATTTATTTATCACTATGAATGAGAAGAAACTGTCACTAAAAAAAGATCATTTCTAAACTGAATTCGGTGGTGAAGTAGCCTTATTCTTACCAAATAACCTAGAATAAATTTGAACAATCAATAATTTTGTTTTCCTCACCTGATCTTTTTCACATCTTTTATCTAGACACTCATCAAATGAAACTTTTCCTCAAATCAAATCATTGATAAGGGAGAACAAAATTTTCTTAATGCTATATGACAAAATCAAGTTATAATATATCTTGTTTTTTTTTCATGCAAACACCTATTACTCTGTGCTTCAGAAAAGAACAAATAAATGTCAATAATGAAAGAATGTTCTTTACCAGATTTCCTTGAAGGAAATCTAAAACTCTCTTCGTCATGTTTGTTTTTTTAAATAAATAAAGGCTTTCCAGAGATTATCCACATAAAAGTTCGCTAAAATAGATCTGTTAATTATAAAAGTTTTTACTTTGATAAAAAAAAATTGACCAAGAGTTGTTTTAGGTTCAACCTTAGTTCAATAAAAAGATTTCTTTTTATAAAAGCAATTGTTCACTTAGATAATAATCCATGTGATTGACAATTATTATATTTGTCAAGATAAAACTCTTAATTGAATTTTTGATGGGCAAAAAAAATTGTTCATTTATTATTGAAAATTTTTCTACTAAAGAATATTGTTCATTAAAATTTATATTAAAATAAATAAAAATATTTGAATAATTAATATAAAATTTTACTACAAAGATTAAAAAAAAAGACTACATTCATCTAATTGATCAATAAATTAATATGAATTGTTTTTATTTAAATAATCAATTAGAAAATGAACTCAAATTAATTAATATTAATAAATTTTAACATTTTGTAAAATCAATAATTGAGAGTCATATTTACACTAAAACAAGTATCGAATCGAAAATTTACAAATGAGGCAAATGATTCCATTATTGACTAAGAGAAAAATATTTTATAATAAATATAACAGTATCTACATGCAAAATCGAGCTTTATCTCAATGTCAAACAAGTATCGCTAATCAGAATAGAAATATACCAGCAACGTTTGTGTTTTTTTTATAATCTAAATAGCTAATAAATTCATTAATCAATTTTTAATTTTTTTTATAGCGCTTCTTCATGGTTCGCAAACTCCAATTTATGCAACTTTTGGTTCACGAACACCTTAGTATGAAAATATGGTTCGAATAGATCTGATTTCAATGAAAAAAGATTCTAATCTCTCTTTCGACACCTTTTCATGATAATTCAATGACTCTAGCTGCTCATGATGGTGCATCAGTTTCATACTTGTCAAATTTTGTAAAAAGAATAGTTTCTTTTCTTTATTTACAATTTTTGAACACTAACTTGTGAGTGTGGTATATGAATTGAGTGAAGAAAAATATTATTCTCATATTATAGAAATAATGTTTTGCCAGGTTGACATATAAAACAAGATAAACCTTATCTTAATGATTGAATAGAGTTTGACAATATCTACTTCAAACAAGGTTACTATTTGCGGAAATCAAATGTTCTATTGAACGCATTTTTCTACAATTATTTTCTCTAAATATTCTTACTTCTAGCCGGTAATTTATACATATGTTGTTTGTTGTTGTGACTCTCATGTATAAGTGCAAATTTATTTTTCTTCTCTCTTCTCCATTCTAAATCATTTTTTTTGAAGCACAATAATTACATTTTAAAAACAAACACAAGAATTTTTTTCTAAGTTATTATTGAAGAAAATGTTGAGTAACAACCACAAAGGATTATTTCTCTCGATAGTAAAGACAAAAAAACTATAACTATGTTTATGAGTTATACTTTTAATGAAGAACGGTAACGATTGATTATTGTGGATGGCTCATAAGAATTTCATAAATTTCTCAAAGTTATTTTAAGAGACAGTCTATTACTCGGTCGAGAAATCATTTCCTCTGAAAAATTTTGCTTTACATCTTTTCGATAATATGATATAAAAGAGCATATAACATCTACCTATATATCCAAAATTTTAGCCTTGCTTTAATGTCTATTGGCTAAATATGAAGACATATTGAACATGACACAAGATCGTTAGAAATCTTTCCTCGCGCTCAAAATTTTCAGCAACAATATAGATCTAAAATCTATTAAAAATACTTCTTAGTTTAATTACTCAACAGATGGTAAGTGTATGCCTTATCCCACACACACACTAACAGTATTACATTACTATTCGTCGATCTATGGTCATCATGATAAAATCCAATAGTACCCACATCACTATATTTTTTTAAAAATTCTGATGTTGCTTGGCCATCCTATTGAAAGAAATCAATTGAAAATTCATGTTCGATTTAGAGAACAAAATATACTTGGCATAAGTTTAGTGTAGGTTCAAGAGCATTTTTTCTGTCAGACTATCGATCGTATTCAAAATCATATGGATTTCTCCAATTAACCAGCATGACCTATGCAAAAAAAGGAATTTTCAAAACTATTTTTCCTTTTTCTTGTTTTTCTTATAATTCATTCTACTTGTTCGACCAATACAACGAATATAAAAATCACTTGTATCCGGTAAATCATAATGAACAACACAATCAATAAGACCATTTGTAAATTGTTCTAGTTTCATTTCCTTGTTGGTGTGTTTGATTTTCATGGATTATTACACTTATGAGATTTTTTTGTAAAAGTAATGCACCAATAGTATCAGCTGATCGTTGTGTTTCAACAAAAATCAAACAACGTTCACATTTTGTTTCTTTGTAAATGGTACTTCTTCTATTGTTTGTGCTACATCGACATTTGCACTCTCATAGAAAAAAATATAATCTTCACGAAGGACATGTTTTCCTAATTGCTGCAATTGGTTAGAAAATGTTGCAAAAAATATCCATGGAACACGTTCTTCTTGTGATGATAAACCAAGACTTTCTAATTTTCGTATATCAAGTTTCAATTCTGTATCTAATATTCTTTAGAAAAACAAAAAAACCGTAATCAAAATTAGGTTCAACACCATCAATGTTGTTTTTACATACCGGTTAGTTTCATCTATAACGAGAAATTTCACTTGTTTTTAGGGAAACTGAAATAAGGAATCCTGTAAAACTTTGAATACAATCCACTGAATTATAATTTTACTTGAACTTTTCCCACCATGTCTTGAAGACGATCCGATACAGTAAACATATCATGGCCATCAACAGTAATGCAATGTAGGTGCAAATAATAATCACCCGAACATTTTACGAGAATACATATTCTCGCTGTACGTTTATGAAGTAACTTACATTGTACCACAGCAGTTCGATATGTGATTTTTCATGCTTCATCTTCTGTTTGTAAAACATGTTGGCATGTAGGTGATATAATAAGGCAAAGTGGTGATGACGGATGTTCTCTATTAGATAATACATCGACATGACATTCAAGTAAAGGATCAGTAGCCGTTAAAAAAAACTTACTGACCTATCACATCCAATTTGAGCACAAAACCAATAAATCACCTCGTTATTGAAACCTTCAAAGTGAGCAAGACGAGTATTTGATACATTTTGTGTGTCAACACTAGCTTCTGCATTTAACTCAATTGGTTTGACTTTGTCTAATGAAATATAAAAAAAAGTCATTGTTGAACTAAACATTAAAAATAAAATAAAGAATACTATATTACCTAATGGTAGATAACAAATTTGTATTCTAAGGATATTTCCAAAATCTTCGTCCTTTCTTATTGCTTTAATAAATATATATTCTGTATTTGCCAATGAAGGCAATGGAAGATAATATTTAATTGGATGATCATCAGCTATAGAAAAAATGACTTCGATTATTTTTCTATCTTAATTCTTATATATATTTAGGTCAGTTGAAAATATCATCAGAAACCTATATGAATGATTGGATTTTTTTTTCAAAAACTAAATATATACTTACTCGGTTGTTTTTTTTCTTTTCATATCAGAATTATAGAAACTATCGTCATACTCTCTGAAAGACTAAACATATAACACATACTATATATATATATATAACCTGAATATACTTACTTTTGCTATCATTTCCATGATGAACATCATGATTATCTAGCAGCTAAATAAAAACTATGGTTCTTCCTACTTATTTAAAATTATCCTATCACGAACATCGGATATAAATTATCCTCTGTGTGGAGCTCAATGATTTGTATTGAACAAATTGTTTTTCAATGTAGAAATATAGATGATGATTTATGAAACGTTGTACTCGTCCGAGACTCGTCAGACACCGATGATTTGCCATTATTTGGCGACGACACCAAATCAGCACTGTGTTCGTTATTTTTACTTCGTGTATCTTGAAGACAAATACAAGCAAATTTTTCTTATTTATTTAGTTTTATCTTACGATGAGCAGCTGAACTGATTCGCTTTCCAATAAGCATTGTATTGTTCCATGTAGATCATAACGATTTTTTTTTGTTTTCCTCGAGGCATTCTATAACTTTTTTGTTTTAATTTGTATAGTTTCTGTTGTTTGACGACAACAATTCAATACTACGATTCTCAACATCTGAACTCAAAGTAACATAACGTTCATTATCAATTCCATCAGGTTCATCGTGTAGCTCAGAAAATTCTTGACACATTTGGTCAGTCTTGCTACTAGTGTCATTTTCTTTAAAACTCAGGCGAACAATTTCATTAAATATGCCATAATTTTTTAAAATATTGACAAATGTTAAGATATTTAGGTATTGAAACTACACACTTGACAAATGATTATCCTCACTCTATCAATACATAACTATCACTTTATTGCCTCTGGAAAAATAGAAAATTTTATTTGATCCTTATAAACAGCGAAATTATACTAATAGAAACTCCAATCGATGGCGATTTTGCAGCTGAAGTGTGCATTAACATTATCATTACTGTGTTCCTAATGATTGATATGACAGAAAGAAATTTGAAATCGCTTGTGTGTCATTACTAACAGTATCGACATGAATAGGAATGCAAGTTTACTCTTGGATGAGTGTTTCTCGAAAAGAGTTAATTACAACTGTTGTGAACAAGTGATACGAATGATTTGACTCATGCTATCGAATATGTATCATGTGATTTTTCTGTCAGAGTCAAATCAAAGGCATCTAAGTAATTTTATGGGGACTCACTCAGACCTACAGAGATATCTGTTAATGTTTGATGATCTTAGTGAAAGTAGACTTAAGGAGAAACAAACCTTTTCATTTATCATACTGTAGTTTGTAGGCATTAGAATCACTTAACTGTAGGAAAACTAATTTCGTACGACTCTTGCTTGTAAGAAAAGTCATACAATCGAAATTAGACTTCAATTCTTGCTTCAAATGTTTGCCAACAAACAGATATACGGAAAAGTATAAGTAGTAAAGAATATTCGAAACATATTTTATTCGAAGTCAATCAATAATAATCCTTAGTATTTATGTGTAAAACGAGGATTCATATGTGAGCAATAACTGCTCTTTCAGTTCTAATAATGTTTATATAATACTCTACATTTATGCGATTGATAACGAGTTATTTTCTAGCAAGTTAGAACATATATAAGTAATCTTAGGTCAAAATAATAAATCAACTAGTAAAATTTATTTTTCAAAAAGACTTTATGGAGAAAAATTCGAATGAAATCATCGTACCGTTAATACATGATCTCTTCTAGTAAAAGATTACTAATACTATATGATTTTGTAATGTTGATGAATAAAAACACAGTAGCTCTCTATAGTGAGTTTTTAGTCAAGTCTCCTGAAAAAGTTTCGAGTTCCTGTATCAAAACTAATTTACCAATGTATATGTCATAACTACACTTACTAGACAATAAATGGACGCAACTGATGTTTACTAAATGTGCAGAATCAATCGGATTTGAATCTTCTGTTAACTTCGTTTGATTTCATTTCTTTTCCTGACCGATCTATATTTATTTCATCAAATTCATTTTCTTGACGAATATTTTTTAACTCATCAGCTAATTGAGATAATATATTTTTCATTTCACTAAAATGTTGCATATGCTATTCAATCAATATTTGTCTACATTCTTCTACTGTTTTCTTTAATTTTCTGAATCGATTCTTCCTCCTATCAGTTCACTTCCTGCATAAATAATAGATTAATCAGTGTTTAACGAAATTCTTGTAAACGATTGTAACAAAAATCTTTGGACTTTGGCTGTGCCTGTCCCTTTTATTAAATGGTTTGACGATGAAAATCGTATCTACGTACTGGAATATACAGAGCAGATCGAAATGAGTGAATATCTATGGTGTGAATACATACAGATATAGACAAACAAAAATAGATGGCTAGAAACTGATGCTAAAAAGTGAAGCGAAATCGACTCTCAAAATGCACTAGCATTACTCTTTCTCATGTGATCATTTATCATATCCTGTTTTTCGACAAAAGTTGAGAATGATTGTGTAACAAGACCTATTCGACTGAGTTCATATTGTAATTCACTAACAACAATCTCTCGGAACATAATTAAGCAAGATTTTTTTGACAATCTCTTCAGATCATGATTGATGGAAAGAATTTCTATGGAAACTTTAAAACGAAAAGTAATCAATAAAATAACTTATAGATCGATCATTGCCAATAATAAAAAACAAATAATATTCAACGTCTAATCTCAGAGTGCTATGATTCAAGCACAAGAAGTGGGAAAAATCTAACACATAACTTTATCATATGCCGAAAAGATTTTCATATGAGGAATTAAAATAGTTAGTTTTTGAATTTTCGACCAGTGATAGAAGTGTTTCTATTCTTAGTTAATATGGTTAGATATATTAGGATCTAATTACAACTTTCATCATTAAGCTAAGAAAATAAAATTATAGGGTTCTGTTGTCATGCTTAAATCAAGGTATTTGAATTTCAGGATTTTTACATCATATATTAAATACACACAAATCAAAACTTTAGCAGAATTTTTTCTATTTTTCTTATAGTTGAGTAGAACTTCCCAAGTTACATAAGAAAAAGTATATTTCAAATGCAAAAAACCAACATTTTATGAAGAAGACTAAGATAACATTATTTTCAGATATCTTAAGAGAGAAACCTAGAATTTTAATATTGGTGACTATTTTGCATTTGAAAGATTACTTCTTCTCGTGCACCTCAATGAAATATATCCGATCATGACAAAAAAGAAAAAAAACTTCTAACATTTTGATTTGTGAGTACTTTAGCTATGATGTGAAAATCTTAAAACATGAAATTTACTTATGAGATCTAATACTCTATGTTATTGTGAATAAATTGAAAAAATTTGAAGTTGTGCTCATTTAACTCAGAAAGATATGGAAGAAGAAATAGACCGTACTAAAAACGTTAAATCAAAAGGTGAATTACATGTTACTAAATAATAGATCATCTTCATTTCAAATGAATCGAATTTTTTTCTGTTTTTCTTTATCGATCGGTGCTAGTTGTTTGAAATGAACATTAAAACAGAGAGAGAGAAAAATAACGTTTTTCACTGATCGTTCGTATATAAGCCGTGTGTAATAATAAATAGATCAATGAAGACTACAATAAATATGCAGTTATCTAAAGATAAAAAAATAATTCTGAAACAAAGCCTAGAAAATTGTATATCTCATTCGTAGGAAAAGTTGTAAAAGACGAAAAATCTTGATTGTTTATTCATGAAAAAGTTATGCTTTACTATTAATTAGTGATGGATTGACTATTGATGAATATAGATGTAACGGGAGCAAAAAAACGAAAGAAAACATTTTTCATTAGCAGCTAGATAGCTCCTAACATAATAATGCGCTTAATTTCTGCAAGATCTTAATGATTTCTCGGTTATTTTTTTTAGAAATTGCCTTAGAAAAACTATAATTTTTCATGAACCTTTATTTAGAAATTTAAAGTAACATCGATTGATAAAAAAGAAGACTGTGCAGAAGTGTCCAGATCAATTTTCTCTATTGGAAATACGTAAAATATGAAATTTCCAAGTTGTTGCTTTATTATTTTTGCAGCTTGAAAATCATTTTATCGATTGTTTTGCATAATGTACCGCTATACGATTCCTTTTTCTTTTCTTAGTATATTCTCATATAATAAACTCTTCGAATTTTTGATTCCATTGTATCACTTTACTTTATCCAGCATGTTCCTATGTAGAAGAATAATCTGAGAAAGAATGATTCACTATTATGGAATGGTATATTTTATCTTGTTTGTTTTCGTGAAAACAAAGTTTGAAGATAAGCTGTTACAAAATGAAAAGTTTATCTTAGAGTCTACTGAATACATTTATCGAAGTATGCAACATACAAAAACTAAAACTTTGTTTATTACATTATAGTCATTTAATTATCATCTTATATAACGTAACATCACGTTGTACCATCTTATGGAAAGGAAGAGTCAAAGAATTCACGACAATCATGAAATACATCATTTCGCTATAGATTATGATATAATCTATTAAAATATAGAAATAATATTTACTTTTCCGTTTTCATTGTTGAGTTTTTAAGATGATGATCATTTTTTGAATATTATGTCTTGCTTTTGGTATAGAAATACACAAATCTTTTTCAAGGAAAAAAAAAGCTTTTAAATGAAACGAAACAGAAAGAGAGATAGCTTACTGATTTTAATTGATATTAATCAATTAATTAGAATAATAAATGAACATGAATCAATTGAAATACTTCCTTTAAAACTTGCATTAACTCGAAAAATTTCAATTAGAATTTTAAAAGGAAGAAATAAATGAAAATATTCAAAAATAAATTTACAATAAAGATTTATTTTATAAAGGATTTCAGACATTGTTGAATGAAATTGTGCAATTGATTTAAAATAATCAATTATTTCTTGAAGAATTTGATTTGAGATATGAGTTTCATGGATAAAATTACTTTTTAAATGAATATATCAATTAACAAATATCAATTAAAATAAATAATATGTTTATTTACTCGTCTAAAATAGCATCATCTAACTAGATACATTTAAAACGAGTCAATATCAACTAATGGATTTTTTCGTAAAAAACTTATATGTGATCCCTCTTAAGTGCACAAATAATTGATTATGTTTAATTTTTAATCATATTAAATAAAATTACTTGAATTGAAATATATCATTCGAAGGTCATTTATCGTAAGTTTATATTTTACATAGAAATGTTCTTGATGTATTTATTTCTTTAAAATTCAATTATTATTATGTTTAACATGTTTGAAAGTTGTTTTTATTTCTATCGTTCACTAATAAAACTTATCTGAAAAGCAATGTGATTTTTATCTAAACATGATTTTAATATTAACTGATTGAAATCAATATTAATCAACAAACAATTTCTACTAATTCATAATTGAAATTTCTTTTAATTCAATTGTCAACTCAAATATTTTCTGACAAGAAAGATTAATTTCCATTTGTGCATTAAATACGATATCTTTTCCTAAATAAAAATTCTTATTTTGTCTACTAAATAAATAGATAAACTTACTTAGACAAATGATAATGATTGATATAGATGATTCAAAGTTATTTTTAGAAATCTAAATAAAGTTTTCGAAAATTTGATAAAGATTGGCATTATGTTCTTTTAATATACACCCAC